AAAAAAAAAAAAAAAAAAAAAAAAAAAAAAAAAAAAAAAAAAAAAAGATCGCTAGGTTTATTATTTTATTATCACACAGTAATGAAATAGGGTAGTCGCAAAGAAAAGGAGAGATGAAGAAAGAATATCGTCGAGGCTCGCTTTTTAAATCAACTCGAACGAAACAAGACATCGTGTGTCTGCAAGCATCTGGCAAGTCTGGCCTAGCGTATAAAATTTAGACATAACAAGTAAACTAAATCGATAATGAGGGTGGTGCGCCTCGCAATCGGACGATTTGATCAAACCTGCTGCGGGCCATCAACAGTCGGAGGACCTGTCGCCGGTTACTATGGCGATCATTGTTTCCCCTAACACAACTAACATGGCGGAGGTTGAGGGTAAGTTTGCGTATGTCAAACGGGTCTCTGTTAGTATTTACGAAGCCTTACAGGCCCGCCTCGTCCGACACAAATAACGCGTCGAGAGATCGGCGGCGATCGCCGCGCGAGATTTCCCTTCGTCGCTGCATTTCCGTCCGGTTGCAGTTCTCGGCGGCCGGAGACGTTTTCTAATAATACATACACGAGAGCCACGCGGACGCGAAGGTGTTTCGATAGAACTCGGGCAACGGCAGGAGCTAGCGATGGCTCCGAGTTCATGGATCCCCGATAATAATTCTCCTATATATCGGTTGTGCGATCGGTGAAAGTGAACGAAATATTTCGCCAAGGTAAGGTATTTCCAATTTCTGCGCACAACGTCGAATCGATAGTCGACGTGAAGATGTGGTGATCTTGCTCCAACAACTATCAAACGTGTGATAATATTTCATATATAACAAACGATAAACATTAACGTTTATCGCGATAACGATTCGTTACTGCGTGTTTATCTTTCGCTAGAAAGTCGTTCTAATCTGTTTCGAGTTTTCTGGCAATCGCTCCGAAGAATTATTCTTCTAGATGTTTTGTGGATGAATGCTCCTCTGTATCTTTAATAGGTAACTTTAATTTGCTACGTAAGTAGTGATATCATTATCGTTGCTTTCCTTCAAATCGGATAATAATCGTTTGAATTATCGATGTCAATACTTTATGCGCTTCTGTCTGTCTTGAGTGGCCTCTTAACAGTATTGATCAAATCTGTGACGTATTTACGTGACATCAAATCATTATACTTAATCGTGATCCACGTTGCATGTCGTCTCGGTGGCCGCAGTACTTATTTACCGGAAGCGGAACTCGTAAAATGAATCAAGTACACGAGCTTGCCCAAGCACAATCGATACTTCTTTCGCTACTAAGCTCCACGAGTTGTTGAACCTTCATCGATCGCAATGAATCGACGACGTCATTCGAAACTTCCACGAATCTTTTTCCACGATCGAATATTATTATTAGAATCGAATATTATGTCGAGAGAATCAAGCAGGTCGCTTCCTCGCCGCGCGAGAGTATCAATTCCGTCGCTATTAACACTAGAATTACCGACTATTAAGATGAAGCTATTTTTATCAAAATGACTGGTTTTTAAAAAATAATAGAATACTTTCATATTTATAGATTTATTATTTTCTTAAAAGAAATCCCATGTTACGTAGTACAGTTAATACCAAATTTGTCGAGCTTG